GGAAGGGCTGCACTTGCCTCTCGAAGTGGGGCAGTTTGTGGTGATCCAGGCTGATGGGTTGCTGTTCTTATCCATGGCCAGGATTTGGGATCAGTTTTGATCCTCACCAGAGCTGAGACAGAGGAAGTGTTGTCGAGAAATTTCTTGCCAAAGCTGGATGGTTTCAAAGATTATACGAGCTGTGTGTACATAGTTCCTGAAAGCCAAGCCCCTGGAAGGTATGTCTGCAGCTCCCAGGGGGTTTTGCCATGATGGTGTGTTGTTTCCTTTTAACCCATGTACTTTGAAAGTCACCTGAATAAACGCTCCACAAACTAACCCCCAGGCAGCCCCCTGACACCTCCTGTGGGGGGCTTTGGCAGCAGCTGATCTCTCAGGGGTGTCTTGTTGGAGCAGGTAAGCCAGCCACAGGGGCACAGTGTGCTAGTGCTGCCTGGATCAGAGTCCAGAATCCCTGTGGCTGTTAAATGGACACGTGTGTCTGTCTGAGCATGGGTGTGTGTGTCTGTGAAACCATCCGATGGGAGCCACTCCAGAACTCCTGCTGCATAAACCCTGCTCTGCCCCGAGGGCTTGCGCTTGGGTTTCCTTCGGCTTCTGACCTGCTCCTGCCACCGTGTTGTGGTTCCTGTATTTAAATAACAAACACAGTAGTTGTGGTGGCCCTGGCACAAGGCTGGTGGTGTCTTACCCTGCTCTGTTCTTTGCTGGAGTTTGTCCCCACTGCTGCAGCGTGGTGTGGACACAGTGTGGTGCGTGGGCCCCACATGGCAGTGGCAGTGGCAGTGGTGCTGGGCAGGAGCAGAGCACACCTGCTTTGGCTTCAGTGGCTCCAGTACACTAGGAACAGCCTCTTCCTTCAACATGGGCTGGGCGTGCTGGGGGAGTGCTCCAGCATGGAACTGGAGGCTCTGAGGAGCTGGTTGCTTGTCCCTGGGCAAGAGCCCTGATGCTTTCCATGTTCTCTTGAGAACTCTTAATGTTTGTCTCAGTGATGGGGAGAGGTAGAGCCTTGTTCTCAAGTAGTGTGAATCAGTGTCACCCTCTTGTAGCTGTGGCATGAGAACCAAGGGCAGTGTGGAGATTTGGTTCTCCCAGTGTGTTTTTAGGTGCTTATCTTGTGCTCTGTTGGGTAAAGCTGTAGCAATAATCTTCTTCCTCCATGTGCAATAGTCCCTCAAGGCTTGGCTGTGACAACCCCTGCTTGGTCCCTGTTGGCTGTCTTTCAGAGCTCTGCTCCCCTGGGGCTGTGGAACACAGGTCAGGGAGAAGATGAGCAGGGAAACCAGGAAGGTTTTCAAGGGGAATGATGTCAAACACAAGCACCTGGGAGAGTTCCAGCCCCTGAGACACCAAGAGCTGTGACCTGCAAGGGTTTCTAACCATGTGCTGTCCTTTCCGATAGATCCGCCACAGTCAACTCCAAAGTGCTGGGCTGAGACCTCCTCGTCGGGGCTGATGCTGCAGCTGGTTTGCAGCTGGCCGGGGGGGTATCCCCACCCCACCCTGCACTGGAGAGAAGAGGGACAGGATCTGGAGAACTCAAGCTGGGTCCTCAGCTCCACAAGCTCCTCGGACACCCATGTGGAAACGCTCAACAGCTCCCAGCTCTCCCACCACAAAGTGTTCAAGTGTGTCGGGAGCCACGTGGTCAGGCAGGAGGAAACCACGTGCACTGTGGAGATAAGTGAGTTCACTTGCCCACCCTAATGACCATTCATGAGCCTGCTGATGGTGGGGCAGGCAGGAACCCTGCTCATCCTCTGCCCTCCAGACCACTAAAGCAGGGCTCAGGCAAGCCAGGCTTGCAGGCACTTGCTGCAAGGGGAGATGCTAACAGAGGAACAGGGCTGGGCCTGTGCAGAGGTGACTGCTCAAGGCATGGAAGTCCTGCAGCTGAGCTCCATCAGGGCACAGCTGCAGGTGAGTTGTGTTTTGGGCACATCTTCAGGGGCTGAATCTCCCCACACTAAGCTTGTCACCTGTGCAAGCACTGTGTGAAAGTGAGAGGTGGTTTTAGTGCCTTGCTCAGCTTGACGTTAAGTTGGGTAGGGCTGGGCTTAGAGGAGGAAGGTCATGAATGTCCCCAGACCCCTGTCTGAGGGGTCCGACTAAAGCTGCTTTGGAAAGCCTGAGCTGTATTTATCCTCCTTTGTCAGAGCTACACAAGAGCTCTGCTGATCCTAAGGAACAATCCTGGGCTGCCTTTCTTCTCTCTGCCATCTTCCCACTGGCAGATATAAATCTTCACATCCCACTGGGGATGTAAAGATGGATGTCAAAAGAGCAATGTGGAAGTTGCTCAGATTGTCCCAGGGAGGCTGCTGAAGTCCTTTGAGTGAGCTGAATGCCAGACCCTTACTGCTCAAAGCCCCAGACTCCTGCCTGACCTCCTCCTGTTAATGATTATTAATCAGTCAGATGCTGATTATGCCTTCTGTTAAACTCCCCCATTCCCACCTTGACTCTTTCCTTGTTCTTCTTCCCCTGGGGCTGTTCAGAAATCCCTTCACTGGAATCAGAGCCCCCACAGACCTGCTTTGTGGGTGACAGTGTGACCCTGACGTGCCGAGTGACTGAGAGCACCCCAGCAGCCAGGCTCACGTGGCTGCGGGGCATCACCCAGCCAGGGGCAGAGATCCAGCCTGGCGGCAGGTACCTCATCGCCCAGGAGGGCAACGTGTCCCGGCTCACCATCCAGAACTGCTCCCAGGCCACCGATGGAGGCTGCTACGTCTGCAAGGCTCAGAACCCCGTGGGGCTGAGGGAGCTCTTCGTCTGCCTCACAGTGAAGCGTGAGTGGGGATTGTGGGGACACAGCTCACTGGGGCCATTGGTGAGCCCCCAAGAGGCGCCGTTTGCCACTAAGAGCCCTCTTTGCCTGCCATACATCCTTTGATGTATGGAGCCACCCTTTGATGCTTTCCATGCTCTTGTGGCAAGCGTTGATGCAGGACTGGCTCCCTTCAGCCCAGGGTGAAAAGGACCAATTCCCGTCAGCTCAGAGTAATGGGCCTGAGAGGTACATCCTTGATCCCTCCTGGGGGTTGTGTGTCTCCTCTCCACAGAGCCAGTGAACATCGTTGGGGTCGTGGGTGCTGTGGTGGTCCTGTCCCTGCTGGCTGTCCTCACTGTCACCGGGGTTGTCCTGTACTACAGTCCCCTCCTGTGCCTCAGAGGTAGGAGCTCTGTTCTGCACAAGCTGGGGAGGGGGTTGCTCCTTCCTGGGGTGGTCTCATTTTATCCCCAACCTGCTTGTCCTTCCTGGTGTGCTGGAGTCAGCCACCGATGATCACCCCAGCCCTTGGGTCTCATCCTGCTCCTGGTCAAAACCCTGTCAGATGGGGTTGAAACAGAAGGCACTTCCCCAGCTGTGTTCTTCCCCTTGCCTTCTCCAGGGAGCTGTACTGTGATGGGTCTTCTCCCCTTTCCTTGTGTCCTCCCTGATGCTCTCGTTGCATACATGGGCAGGTCACCTTCATGTCTGAGCCTCCACGTGTGGCTGCCAGAGACCATCCTCCTGCAGGCAGGATAGACAGGATTTGTGCAGTAAAACCAAGACTGCTCTGGGACCAGTTTCTAATGCTCTTTTCCCTTCCCTTCTCTCCCATTCAGGTGCTGCATTCAGGTAAGTGCTGATGTTCTTCAGCCCAGTCCCACGTGGCCTCACTAGTCAGGCTATTTTCAGAGGAGGGGAGTCCACCTCTGAGGCAGGAGCCATTCCCAGGGCAAAGCTGTTCTCATCTGGGAGCTGTGCTTCCTGTGGGAAGGGGATGGTGGGGCTGGCGTGGGTGCAGGAGCCGGAGGTTGAGGGGAGAGAGGGGAACACATGGCACCAGAGCAGGATCCCAGTCACTTTGGGATTGCACAGGGACAGTGCTGGCAAGGCACTGGTCACTGTGGGAGGGAGGGGACTGTGCAGGAGAGCTGCCCCTTGGTGCTGGTGAGCCCAGAGACTCACCAGTTAATAGATAGTAAATAGAAGCAGTGATCTTCTGCCCCTGTAGGGGTGTTTGCACCATGTCCTTATCCCCTCAGGAAGGATGCACATGAACAAGTGCCTTCTTGGGGTTTGGGTGTACCAGATTTCTTCCCCACTTCCAGCTTGCACTCCTGGCCCTGCTCCTTCCCTTGCCTCTGTTCCCACAGCTGTGGTGCATGGGAAGTCTCTCTTCTGGGTGCCATCATTCCCCCATCCATACAGGAGGGGAGAGCAGCTCCTCTCTGGAGGGGCTGGTGCAGTTTGGTACATGAATGTTTGCGAGGTGGTTGGAGGACTTGGGAAACGAATGGGAAGCAGTGCAGAGTGTGGTGGTGGTCTGAAACCAGCTGGTTTTGCACATGGTTGGTGCAGGATTGGAGGGGTCCATCAAAATTGGTCATTTTGGGGTAGAGGGTGGTCAAAGCCCAGGGGACACAGGCTGGAGGGAGGGTAAGGACAGGCTGTCCTCAGCCTTTTAGCCTGTACCTGCGTGCTCTGCTCCTCACAGGAATCAAGACTCGGGTGATGTCTTAGTGCTGGTGGACTCAGATGACGATGATGGGAATGGGGAAGAAGAGGCCATGAGCAGCTCCACCAAGCAGGAGGTGTTGGCGCTGGTCAATGGGGGCAGCGTTTGGGCTCCTTATCTCGGCTGCCTTATGGAAGGTGAGCCCTGGTGCCTGCCTGCGGCCTCTCTGCCTGCAGGGAGGGAAGAATTCCTGCTCTCTGGCCTCTTGGCTCCTACTGAAATGCTGCTGCTCTGTGCCCTGTGTAGGTGACGATGGCGAGCAGCATGGCAGGGGCTCTCCAGAGGAAATGAGGGGAGAGGAGACACAAGGCTCGTAGCTTCATGAAGCAGAGGCACACAGAGCTCTGGCTGGCTGCCCAGCGTCAGGCACGTCCTTGCTGTGTGGCTGAGCACAGGCTGTTAGGGTCCTCAGCAGGCTGGATCCGTCAGAGCATCCCCACTGCCTTCTCCACTTGCCCCTTCCCCAGCTTTCACTCTGTCCTTCCCCAGCCACGTGTCTCCATTTCTCCTCTTTCATGTTCCTCTTTGCCTCAGGTGCCTTTTGAACAAGGTGGCACCCAGTGCAGGCAGAGCTCACAGGTGGGTGCCTGTAGCCTGCTCCCCTTGATGGACTCAAATACCAGTCTGGAGTTCTGGCTCGGTCACCATGACCAGTGCTGGGGTTGCGGGAGTGTGATGGAGACAGTCCCTGCGGGGCCACAGTGGTCCTGGGGTGGCAGAAGAAGCAACTGGTGCATGGGCAGGACATGGGTGGTGCTGACTATAGGGGGCTTAATTGTTTTTATTATAAATATTTTTCCCCTAATCCTTCTGGAATGTTGCTCCGTGTCTAAGCTGGGAGTTACTCTGGGAGTGGTTTTGAGGGGGTGCCTGGCTGTGGTGGGAAGCACAGGGGGAACTTACACAGGGAGGGGATGAGGGGAGCAGGATCTGTGTGGAGAGGAGGTTGGAGAGGAGCAGAGGGCTCTGCAGGAGGGCACCAGCAGTAATCAGCTGTGTGAAGTGGAGATGATGGAGACATGAGTGCACCCAGGGGACAGGGGGGATGTGAAGGGTGATAGGGGGAGCACACAGGGTGATCTGATGGAACATGGGGGAATGAAGGGGATCTGATGGCATGTGGGGTGGGAAGGAGGCACTCCTGGAGCATGCAGAGAGGAGGTGAAGTGTGCTGAGACCAGTGTGAGATGAAGGGGAGCTGAGGAGGGATGGAGGCACACCGGAGCGCTCGGCGGGGCAGTAGTTGGGGTCCCTTTATGCACAGTGCTCTCTGAAGGGGCGATGGAGCCTGAGCAGAGGTTTGGAGAGGCTGGAGCAGGGTCTGAGGGCTGGGGGGACATGAGTGCAGTGTGGCTGGAGAGCTGCAAGTGTCCCCAGGAGCTTCAGTGCAGTCCCTGTGCCTGGAACCAGGCCAGGAAAACCGCAGGGAGCTGCCGGAGCCTCCGGCTGCCCCTGGCAACAGTGTTGTGCTGCCGCCATCTCGGCTGCCCCATGTCCTTCATGCTGAGGAGGCACCAAGAGCGATGGCCTTGGACCTGGAGGGGCATTTGAGCAAGGCTTTCCAGGACAAGCTGCGGCTGCCCTTGCGCTGCCTTGAGTGAGATCCCTTGGGATGGGCAGGAGAGCTGGGTGCTGCCCGACACGCTCTCAGGTAGCTTTCACACCATTTCCTTCGCTCCAGGAGCAGAGCTCCTGCTGCTTCCCTTGGAAACAGGGAGCTGGAGAGCTGCTGCCCTG